AGCGTCGAGGGATCGGACGTGCGCGACATGTTGCTGCAAGCGGTGGGCTTGGCGCGTGCCCTGGGCATGTCCGACACGGCGAGCAGCTTGCTGGCCGTGATTAGCGACGAGCGGTCCACTCGAGCGTTGGCAAACGATCGAGTGACTATGGACGTGCTGAAGAGACTTGCGATCATGAGGAAACTAGCGGAAGAGCGGCCGTCCTTTATGAACGCTCTCGGACAATTATGCAGCGATCCGGAACTAGCTAAAGCAGACCCGAGACTGCGAACCCTTGTGAGAGAAAGCGCTGCGCTAATGATAGTACCCGAAGAGACACCGTTGTTATCCTCAGCTGATGTTCCGACCATGTTGCTGCACGCCGATAACAGTCTGGCAATGGAGGAGTTCCTGTTGAAAAGGAATCACAAACCATCGTCTATTTTTATGATTCTGAAGCAGGGTCTGCAGGCGGTCGTGCCGAGAGAAGCCTCCAGGTCGGTGTTGACCGGCCAGGTAGCCTACACCGTTCTCGATGAGGACGGTATACATCACTTTGAACCGCTGCACGTGTTCTCGGCTCTCAGACTGAATCGTCCAACTGCTCATCGATTCTCTATGTATTGTTGCCCTGTGGCAAAAGAGATGGATTTGGATAGCGAGCTAATGTCCACCACCTTTACCGCCACAACTTCAATCGCCAGCAGCCTGGATGGCTCCGCTAATGGTAGTTCCAATAAACAGGAAAACAACGGCGCCGTAACTCTATCGAGATCCGAACAATCAGCTGTTTTTTGTTCAGCTAACAGGGAAAACACGCCAAGCCTGAAGAGGTTAAACTGCGCTCGGCGAGATGAAAGCTTCGAGCGGGTAAAGTATGAGAAGAACGTAGATCGGATAACGATTACGTTTATTAATATTTGTAGATCCTTTATTAATTCCGGAATATTTTATTTTATTAATGAGTTTATAATCTATATCAATGATAAATTCAGATGTAATGTGTAAGCATATATATTGTATAACAAAGTACTAGAACATAACATATCACGCGCTATTTAGCCTCATATATATGAAAAAAATACAATTTACTAAAAAAACAAGTAACAATTTATATTCCCTCACAATATATAATCTAATTTTCTCTTATTCTTATTCGAGAAAATATTTCTTACTCAACAATCTCATTTTTAATCATTCCCTCATAATCAATCTCATTCTCTCTTATTCTCTATCGTTCTCTCCAAATCTCTGTCATTCTAATTTTCTCATAACATATAATTTAATTCTCTCTTATTCTCACTGAAAAAATTATTTTTTATTTTATTCTATCTCATTCTTAATCATCCTCTCACATTCAACCTCATTTTCTCTTATTTTCTCTTATTCTCTGTAAATCTTTGTCACTATAATAAAATTCTCTTACAAGATATAATTTATTATTTAATTTATTATTATTTAAATAATTCTCTCACAATATATAATTTAATTCTCTTTTATTCTCACTCAAAGAAATATTTCTTATTTTATTTAATCTCATTCCTAATCATTCTCTTTTAAACAATCACATTCTGTCTTATTCTCTCTCATTTTCTCTAAATCTCAGTCATCCTAATAATTCTCTCTTATTTTCACTCAAGAAAATATTTTTTATTTTATTCCATCTCATTCTTAATCAATCTCTCATAATCAATCTTATTCTCTCTTATTCTCTTTAAATCTGTCATTCTAATAATTATCTCACAATATATAATTTATTTTTCTCTTATTCTTACCCAAGAAAATATTTTTTATTTTATTCTATCTCTCTCCTTAACCATTCTTTTTTAAACAATCTCATTCTATCTTATTCTGTCTCATTTCGTCTAAATCTTTACCATTTTAATAATTTTTTCACAATCAATCTTATTCTTTCTCATTCTCTCAAAATTTCTATTATTTAAATAATTCTCTCACAATATATAATTTAATTCTCTTTTATTTTCACTCAAGGAAATATTATTTATTTCATTCTATCTCATTCTTAATCATTCTCTCATAATCAATCTCATTCTCTCTTATTCTTTATCATTCTCTCTAAATCTCTGTCATCCTAATAATTCTCTCAGAGTATATAATTCAATTTTTTTTAATTCTTATCCAAGGAAATGTTTTTTTTATTTTATTCTATTTTTTACCATTACTCATCTATTCTTATCTTTCCATATCCTATTCAGACTCTTTTCTTCTCTTTCTTCCTCATTAGCTCTTCCAGTTTCTATCTTATTTCTCTTTCTTTTTATGTCCAATCTTTCATAATTATTTTTCTCCTGCCCTTCAACTTTTTTTTTTATTCAGTATTTCTCTTCATTGCTTCTCATTCCCCAGCCTCACTAATACCATCTCTCTTCGCTTCTTTACATTCTCTTCTATTCTTTTTATCTTCTCTATATCTACCTTTGTTGCTACAATCTTAAACATCTCCTCTATCGCCTCTTTTCTTTTCCCTTCCTTTACCTCTATCCCTTTCATGAAACTGAAATCTTTCTCTCTTTTCCCGTTCTTTTATCTCCATTTTCCTTTTAATTTTTTTTATTTTACCTTCTATTCCCATACTTTTCCTGATGGAAATATTTTGCTGAAAGTACTATGAAATCAATAAAAAGTAAAATAAAAGTTTTTAAAAATTACTGAATATATTCCAAAATAAATCATAATTTTCCGTATGAAAATTTAATGTAATACCATAAAATATAAGGAAAGTTAAAATATACTGCTGAAAAGTAATAAAAGAATTTTTAAATAATTATCATTATGAAATTTACTGAATTAAACTGAAAACTGTTACTTTTTAATGAAAAATTGCTGAAATTATTTATGAAATTAATTAATGGGGTCAATTGAGAGAAATTTTCAAATACATTTCAGCAAAATTTCGTTATATTTTCAGAAAAATATTTCCATCAGGGTTCCTTTCCTCTCCCCTTTGCCTTGCTTCCTTCTATTTCTTTTTTCCTTTTCTATTCCAATTCTTTTACTTTCTTCTCCAATCTTAATACATTTCCTCATCTCCTTCCTCTTTTCTTTCCATTTCTTTCCTCTCTTCTTCACCTTCTATTCTTTAAATTCTCTCCTCGTCTCTTCTATCTTCTCTCTCAACATCTTGCTTTGCTCTCTGATCTCTTCTTTTATTTCCTCTTTCATTTGTTTAAAATTTTCCCTCCACCCTTTTACCCCTCGCATTTCCATTAAATCCTTCTCTATTTCTTCTCTCATCTCTCCCATCTCACTCTCCTCTCTCATTTTTTCTTTTTCCGGCGATCCCTGCGTCTTTCTACTTTTCTTGAATATCCTCCCCATCCCTTCTATTCCTCCCTTTTCCTTTTTAACATCTCCTTCACGGTCCTAAGACAAATAAAAAAACTAAAAGAAACTAAAACTATGTCTCCAGCCTAACCTCATACTTTTTTTTCCTTTCCCAAACTGTCTTTGTTCCCTTATATCCTACCCCGCTCTTCACACTCACACACACTTTCTCATTCTTCCACTCTCTTTTACCTCTGCCACTCTAACAATTTTTTCACAACATTTTATATTTTAAATAGAACAGTGATATAGAATGTTAAAATATGTACTTTTTATTTTAATTTTAATTTTATTTTAATTTTATTTGATTTTGAATCTTATATCATAACATTTAGTCAGGAATGTTAGAATTTACATTTTGTTTACTTTGATACATTGAAATCTTATATTTTAAACAAAGAAACTATTTCTTTCTTTAAAACATAAGATTTTATATTTCAATGTATTACAGTAAAGTTCTGGACTTACTAAATAAAATGATATAAAATTCTAAGATATAAAAGTGAATAAAATATTAAAATAAAATATACATATAATTAAATGTTATAAATATTAAAATGTACACTTTATTTACTTTTATGCTTAATACTTTTTATTTTTTCACTTTATTTATTTTTAAGATTTCAATGCATTACCATAAAGAAAATTCTAACATTCTTATACCAAATGCATAAAAATAAAAAAAAATGTACATTTTAACATTCAATACCACTTTTCTGTTAATATAAAATATATGAAGAAACAAAAATGTCAATTTTAAAATTTTAGTATCGGACAATTTAGATATACAAAATCGACATTTTATTTTATGTATATAATAAATTCTTACTTACGTGTATTTGCACGAAAGTCTTTTTGTCGGAACCTTCTTATTAAGAAACTTTTTTACACGTTTACTTAATCAAGACTTGTTAAATGAGCTGTCATCAAGCAAACAAAATATGCAATCGTCGTGATGACAGCCGCTTGATAGCACGAAATAACGCACAATGCGCATCGAGATAACTAATCAGCATCGCGAAAAAGAAACAATGAGAAACATACCTTATTTAAGATAGGAGGATGCGTACTAATATTAAATATCATGATTTATTATTCTTGCAGACCGCGCAAAGTACAACAGCAACATTGATTTTATGTAATAGAAAAATCTCAGATAATAAATAATTTATTGAATTTACTTTTGTGATATAGTATAAATTTCTTTCAACACTAAATAATTCTTGAATCTTTCTCTACATTTTCTTCTACTTATTCTTAATAATACAATTTAATATTATATTCTACAATTTTTAATTATCCATACAACAAGAATAATTTAGCTATATTTTAAGGTACGTGTTTATAAAAGAATACAACTCTTTTTTACGCTATTGTATTTTTGTTACAGACATCCTCGGAAAATTATGTTGTTGTGAAGGACTACGTAGCGGACGCCGACGGATTTGTCGTGAACGTCGGTGACATTGTCGAGGCCATCGAGCATGACGGTTCAGCAAAGTAAGCAATTTTTAGTCGAAGGATATGTCCACAGTCTAAAAGAAAAAATAGAAGAAGACAGCTTTTCGACTCGTATTATCACCGCGCTTTCTACCGTCGAGCGTTGGCGTTTGCGTACACGTGGGTGACATAGCCGTTCGTTAGTAGATAAAATCCCACTACGTTGCTAAAGATAGCCAGTCGCGACTCACGCACGCACACGCGACGCGTGTCGATGTGTCCGCGTGATAAGAATTGTCCAGGTTATTTATCACCGAGATCGCGGACCGCAGACGCGGAAGCGATAATCAAAAGATTGATCGGACGAATGCATTTATAGCTGACAGCATTTCCACGCTCGCTCATTAACACTTGTGCGAGAGCAAGCGCCACTAACGCGCTCAAGTCCTGAACGCGACCACTGTTTACGCATAATAAACTGCGGCTGTGCACACTTCACGCCACCGTTAAATGTCGCGGCCTGATGATGCGCCGTAAAGTAACCAAACCTTGTATGAGTCAAGTTAATCCGGATGTCAAACTGTAAAACGATGATCATTACAAACGGTCGCGAGATCTCCGCGCATCGGCTTCTGCTTGCGCGGCTCGTCGCGGCTATTTTTACACCGCACAGTGGTTTCATCGGCATTCGGCATGTCTCGTTTTGCTGCACGCGCAACTTGTGAATACTTTGACAGGAGGAAAATTCGCGTGAAATTTATGATAGCGTAAAGATCTCGTGACCAAGATTTCGATTGTGCCAGAAAATTGGCGCTTGCTCGCACGATAGGAATAATTCTCGTATAACCGAGAATAAAAGTTTAGCGAAATTGCTTTCAAATTGTGCGTCATAAAATTAGCACAGAAAATGATTTCCAGCTACTCTCGCAGAATTAACAAAATACATGTAAATAATATTCTCGCACCATCGCAACGCTTCAAAGCATCAGCTTTAAGAGTTTGACATGCTGTGAAAAATCGCATGTTAATGCTACTAATTTTGATAACAGCGGCATATAACTACAAGTAAATAACGAGCTGTAAATAAATTGGAAAATACCATGCAATGCAAATTTAATGTGATCCTTCTTCTACAAACTCGTCGCACAAGTCGATCAAGACTTTACAGGAGATGCTTCGCATTGTTGTAGGAAGGCGAGGATGGATCCCGATCTGGAGGTTGAGATCGGCGATATCCTGGATAATTCGGCCGCTAAACACAAGCTTTCGATTCGGCCGCGCCGAAATCATGCGGATCCGCGCGCTCGAAGCAGTTCGAGCATAGATTCGGACTCGAGTCTTGAAAGGTAAAGTCATCAAAATCAAGACGATGATGTCTTTATCTCGGCAATCGTCTAATGCGATGAAACGTTTAACAACCACTAATTTTATCATTGAAAGCGTGAATTGACTCTTTGATATACGATATTTCATCTTTTTCTAACGAAGTCTGATTCAACTGAAAATAGAATAATCAAGGCTGCGAAATTGAATTCTATGGATCTCAAGCAAGAGCACGTCATCGTCGACTTTCTGTCGTTATAATGATAAAATAACAGATAATTATCATCATTGCCAAAATGCCGTTGACGGTCTCTTCGTTCTCGTGTGTGAGCGATGATACTTAAACTTTGATGAATCCAATATTTTGAACATTCGATGGAAATTCGGATGAATATTTGGACATCTTCAAGAAGTAAATTAAAAGCAATTAAGATGTGGATAATTTGATAAAATATCATAAAAACTTCAATGCAAAAGTTTATTAATTTGCAATTAAAAAGAGATAAAAATGATGGGAAAACTTGTGATTCTTGTGGAAAAATGTCTGACTCATCGTTCTCAAAAACCGTCATCCAAATTCTTTATGCGTGCTGCGCGCACTGATGGGCTAACGCTAACGAATAACTGCTCGTAATGTATAACGAGGACGTTTTCTAGATTTAACGCATAACTTTCAATGACCACGCCAAATTGTATGCAACCTTGGCCAAAAGTATGGAGTACTTGCAGTAAATTATGATGAGATTTAATACTCAAATATTAGACTCAATAGTTATGAAAAATGGCTCTATAAATAGTAAATCTCATCTCTATGTCGAGTTGGTCGGGGCATTCAACAGTATACATTCTAGCAAATTCTTGCGACCTATGGACACTTTGCGATCATTTAAATAGCGACAGATAAGACAAAACGATCCATTGTTATGCGCATTTAGCACCCATTTAGCACAAATTTGGACTTGCGCGGCTCTGAAGTAAATTCAGCATCCGTTGAATTACGATGACGCTAATGAAGATTAAGTATTTATAAGCGTCCAAGGCAATAATATCTCGCGATCGTATCTCTGCGTGATTGGCGACAGGCCAGAGTGTCAGTAGAACCAATAGTATAAAATATTGTTAAAAAAATCTGCGAATACATAGTCAATGAAACGCCATAGTAGCATCGAAAATTTTGCATTAGAAATTTTCGACCAAATGCTATTAATGATTGTTGGATGAATTGCAAGAATATTTATTTCTGTGTGAGATTATAATCATCATTTTTTTTTTGTTAAAATGCAATTGAATTGCTAGAAAAAAATAAGTTACATTTTGGGAAATTATAAAAATGATTAAATGTTCAAATGTAATGATAAATTAATTTGACGCACATGTGTCTGTCACTATTTTTAATGTTCGGGTTTACTTTTGTTTTAGATGGTACACTCTCTGTTTATGAAAATGTGTATGTTTCACGATAAAACTCGCCGTGTGTGGCAATTTGAACACATTTGCCAGCAGATTTTGCGTTCTGTGAATGGGCGATGACTTCGATGACACAGAGGCTTAGTCATTCTGTGTAAATATAACTGCGCGTCTCCCACGCACTCGAACGTCTATCTATATTATTTCTTTAGATCGCGCCCGATCAAATCTAATTAACTGTTAGACAAATCTAACGACAAATTAACTCAAAATTAGCAAAAGTATCGACAAAATTTGTGCAATGTGCACATTTTCTTTTTTTTATAAGTTTGACTCTTAATGCAATTATCTGATAGGATTTATTAATTTACAGAGTTTACGTTCGTACAATTGATGGAAGACAAGGATGGGTGCCTACATCCATTTTAATGCAAACAGCACTCAGCGAAGAGAGTTCATTGATGTCTCGTCCAGAAGATTCTCATTATCGACGAGAGTACGTAATTTTATTCGCAATTTTTTAAATGTAGCCATGTAATATTTTCCATTAAATCTAAATTATAATATTTTTTTTAGTTACATTTTATTTTTTAATATTATATTTGTAATTTAAAATAATTAAAATAATTACGATATTGCCAATTAAATTTTACACTATAATAATTATAATACACAAAAGAAATATTTTGACATTTATTTTCTTGCAGAGCTGTCGTAAAAGAGTTAATCGAAACAGAGGAAGAATTCGGCAAGGACCTTCAACTAGTTGTCGAACGTTACCTGAACCCTCTCGATAATCCTGGCGTACCACGAGCCGTGCGGGACAACAAAGAAATTATTTTTACTAATCTAAAACAAATTGCTGATTTTCACAACACGTATGTATTTACAGCAACAAACACTGATAGTAAAATAAAAAAACCGCGATACTATATCAGACAGGCATTCATGAATACATTTCACAGTACAAGATCAGACATCTTATATATTTATGTTTATTCTCGTTTCTCTTTTCTTTAATTTAATTTATTAAATTTTACTTTCCATTTTATTTATTTAAGTCACCAGTAAAAATAAAAAATGCTGACTACATACACGTTTCAGCATAAACAAACTGCAATCATGAGTTTCATAAAAGAGATCCTATATACAGTATTATACATCATGCATCTAAACGTCGATTAGATTAAATAAATGAATCTTCTTTTAATATCCGCGACCATAATATTAAACATTAGAGGAATACATACAACGAACAAGTACTGTTTATTTTAATTTTAATTTAATTAATTTATGATCTAATTTATAAAGTTAGGCATTATAATTGATTTATTAAGATTGCACTTGGTAAAAATTATTACACGATTGCGTATTACACACGATCACGTTCACATTGCATATGCACACATTTCGTTCCACACACGATTCTGTTACTTGTAGGAATATCATGTACAAAGCGTAAGTTTATAGTCGAATGTATTTTGTGTGGTAGTGTGCTTCTTTGTATACATGTGAGTATGTCCCTAAAAAATTAATCCAAACCATTGCTTTCTAAGAAATTGATTATAATGTTCTAGATACATAATTTTACGTATAACGAAAGTTAAAATTTTTTTTTCCATAAAATCGTAAGCTTAAACGCAAATGTTTTTAGTTCTTAAAAAAAAATCATTATTACTCAATATATGTTAACAAAAAAAGTCCATTTTGTATTGACTACATTACTAACGAGTGATTTTAATTCATTAGCGTTTCGTCGATGTTGATCTTGTTGTTTTCACTCGAGATCAAAACAGAACGTTTCTTTTTGACAAGCCCCTGTCCATCAATATATCAGTGAATAATAAAAAACTGATAACCCAAATGCCACATTTGTGGAATTAGCTTGTACTTAAATAAGGCGTGTCGCATTCTAAAATAAGTGACGCAAACTTCCGTTCCGTAGCATGTTAGGCGTGGTGTGACTTTGGCATGATAATTAATTCCGGCCTTACTTAGATCGTTCGGCAGGGTGTTGATCGAGGGTGTCAAGTACTACGCGGATCAACCACGTATGCTCGGCAGAACTTTCTTGAGACTGGTAAGTGTATTTATCGCTGACTTCATTTCCGTTATCAAAATTTTGTTACGCTAATGTTTACATGTTAATAAAGATCATTATTTTTTAATTGAGTAGTCCATTTGCAAAAGTAGTTAAATCCACTTAAAATTTTTTTGGCTAAAGCGGAAAAACTTGCATAATTTATCTTGTTTTTTGAAAAATTAAGAAAAATTCATTATTTTAGTTAACAAAACGTGTATAATATGGCATGAGAAATACAATTTCTATTTGTTAAAATAGAATTTACTTAACCAGTTTTGCTGGACAAAGGGTTTAGCTGATTTTAAAACTGGTGTTCGCCATTTTTATTTTCTGTACAGATGCAAAAACAATTAAAGTAGATTATTAAATTAAATAAAATTTTTATAATTTTGAAGCTTTTTTATTATCCTAAAAATATCAAAAAAATTTACATACTATATTACAAAACACCAGTTTTAGTTATTAATTGAAAATATACAATGGCTTTCCCTCTTTATATCAAATTCAAATAAAAATAAAATACTAAACATAGAGGAAAAATTGGCAAAACAAGTTTTATAAAAAATAATAATAAATAAAGTTTAAAAAATTAGTAATTCTAGGCTAGTTATAATTTTTATGACAAATAATTTTTACATGACTTTTTAAATTTCTGTAGCTTGTTGAGATATTCATCGCCCTACATCTAATCACATTTTGGAAGAAGATTTTACTTTTTTACTTTTAGTCTAATTTTTTAAAATAAATATAGTCCTTTATAAAAAAGGATGTAGCTATTTTTGCAACTTGAAATTTAAGGTTGCCATTTTGCTATAATGATTCAACTGCTTCTGCAATTGTAAAGACGAAATTAATCTTATGAAATGTCGGAATAAAACATTACAACATTTCATAAGATTAATTTATATGTACTAAAGATGATCGAAAGGTCGACCGAAACGTTTATGATGAATTCAGAATAAAAAAGATTATAAATAAGCAACCAAAATTTTGGCGTTGACTCTTGATCCTTCTTTTATCTAATTTTTTAATTCAATTTTTTTAAGCTTAATTGCATAGAGTCTAGAGAATGCTGAATTAAAAGGAATGATTTATTGCAAATAAAATTGAAGATTATTGTATAATGGAAATATTCAAGTAATATAATTTTAATTTTAATAATTAATAGAATTGAGTCAATTTTATTTAATAAGAATAATTTATGTACGTTATGTTTTGACAAAGAAAAAATCTAATATTGTAATATTTCTAGTTTGTTGATGTTTAAGGAAAATTATTACAATAATTGCAACAAGATGCTATTCTATTCCAGGAGAGAGATTTTGACAAACACGTGGCATACTGCAGAGACGAGCCTGCTGCTCAGGAATTTCTTCAAACGAACAACGAAATACGCGAATATTTCGAGGTAAGTGCTGTGTCTTGTTACCATCACCATTAGAGAAAGAGAAATTAAATTGATATCTAATTCAAATAAAATAAAGATGCGTGCGTGCGTATGTGCGCGCGCGCGCGTGTGTATAAAAATATTTTATTTTACTTTTACTATATTTACTGAATTTCTATTTGTTTTTTTATTAATTATTATTGATTATTAATTATCATTCTACTCATTAATCAATTAACAAGTTCGAATTTGTAAGACTGAGAGGCGAGACTCACTTTCAAGAGTCAGAGCGAATTAGTATCTGTATTGAAATTAGGCGTGAACATCGTGAAACATGATAAGTTGGCATTAATGATAATAATATTAAGATTTTCCGTAGCATGCAAATTGATATTTTATTTTTCTAAAAATATTCAAAGATATACTTGTTTGCCTCCAGATGCGAAATTATAGTTCTAACATGCCAACTAACGTAAGTGAATACATGTAAACAACAATGCAACATGTGTATACTTAATTTAAATATTAATCAAATTTACGGTAATTTATATTGACATTTGAAATAAAATCAATATAATTAATAAATATAAAACATAAGTCACACATAGTAAAATAAATATAAAAATTTGAAATATAAATTATTATAAATTATAATATGCTCAAAACTATATGTATTAAAATATGAATATAATAATAAAAATTTTTTGTTAATATATACATAGTGTTCTATGGGAAGTTGCTGAAACTAATTAGCTGTTATTTTTAAACACACATAGAGAGCAAAAAAAAATACTTTTTAACAGAAGACATTTTGCAGTTTTATTTATACTAAAAACTAAAAACAATCGAAAATATTTTTATCATTAAATAAATGATTAGAGAAAAATGCCAAATTTTACTAATTTTAATGGCTTATATTTTCAAAGTGCGTACCATCAGAATTATAACAAAAAAATTAAGTTACTTTTGGAAACTATAAAAAACTTTAAGCAACAAAAATTACAGTTACAGTTATAGTTTCTGAAATCGACTTAATTTTTGTTATAATTCTGACGATGCGCACTTGGGAAAATATATATCATTAAAATTAGCAATATTTTGCATTTTTTAATAAACGTTTATTTAATGATAAAAATATTGTCTTTAGTTTATATGTAAATAAAACTGCAAAATGTCCTCTGTTAGACGATATTTTATTTTTCTTGCTCTCTACGTGCATTTAAAAATGACAGCTAATTAATTTCAGCAACTTTCCATAATACACCATGTATATATTAACAAAAAATTTTTGTACATCGTTCACTACCTATCGACAATGTTCATAATGCCTTTAATAAATGTCGTAAATAAGCTTAGATTTTAAAATAAATGTCCTTCAATGTTGAAGTTAATGCGACACGCACGTTACCTACCTCCATGATTCCATACCAATTGCCGTAGCGATATAGATTGGGGAAAATGATATAATTATATAACAGGCGGGGATATGCGGGCGTGCGTCCAGTCCTCAAAATAGCTGGGTTTATTTTTAACGAACGGAACATCTTTCGTCTGTGTCACCTAAGACTGGTGATATCGAGATGCGTGCTATTAAAAAAAATGCGTTTTTGTACAAGTTAGGATACGTCATGGACGATGTAGTACAAATATCTATTTTAACATCTAAAATCGTATTTATAGGTCTTCCGGCGTAAACAAATTTTTTCTTTAGATCTGAGACAATTTTTTATATTGTCCGTTGGAAAAAATTACTAGAAAATTAATTTTATATTTTCTACAATTTTTTTTAAGAAACGATTTTAATTAAATGTAAAGAAAAATATAGCTAGCATTTCTAGCAAATAGAGAATTAAAATAATAAAATAATACAAAATAATAATACTAAGTTTTTTTGAATTCTTTTAAAAATCTCTTCTATTTAACACAAAATAAGTATACAAAATATTCGAGACTTTTGAAAAGATATCTTTCATCTACGAATTTTTACTGGAGTGCAATAATTAGATATATCGCTTATTGGTTATCTCATAAATTACTGATGGGCCGTTTAAATTTTAAATATTCCTTTTCAAATTTTGTCCGGGTTTTCCGAAATCCCATAAATCGGGGTAAAATCGAGGATCTGTTGTAGTCTTTGAAGAAATAAAGAGTGAAGCAAAAGATTTCATCTCCGACGGACGTCAAAGTGATTGGAAAAAAAACCGGATTTTGGAACCGTGTGTATCGATTATCTGCGCGATCTACGTGTTGTTTTCGCGAGTGGTCAGTCCCACACGAAACCATCCGACGTCTAAGTATAGCCGTTGCCGTATTGGTCTTCCGAATGTGTTGCCGCGACGATTGCAAACGCTCGAAGATCCCGCCTCAGTGCCGCGAACTACTGACCACTACGCTACGCTATTACGTGTGTATAAGAATCTCCGCACGATCCGCAGAATCTGGATCAGGAGCCGGACTCCTGGGTGCTGTTCGTAGCAGCGGGTAGCCGCACAACGGCCTCTGCGACAACTACATCGATGACCGCGAAATCTTCCAATCGAGATAGCGATTTTAGGATGTTTCTTCCAAGGTGCGCGTATTATTATTCGAGATAAGTCCGCGTTGTCGGTTCTCCGTTTTTCAAGCGCGTCGTTCCGCTACCAAAATCGCGCGATGCGCGGTGCATTCGCGACACGTCAATCACGCGTCATCCCAATGTGCAACGGTGACAACGCGCGCGTACGGGGGTGGCCGCGTTATATGCAAAATCCAGTTACACATCCAAAAATACATGTGTTCACGCCAGATCTCCCGATGATGCTCCCGGTGTCGAATTACGTCGGCAAACGTTCGTTGCGACGAACCGTTGTTGAAACGTTTTGTTAGCGCGAGTGCGCACGGTAGTTATTGTTTCTGATACACGTTCTCGTTTTGTTGCGAGCGTTAATCTCCAATTGCTCTAACTGCGAGTTTGACATAAATAGAAATATCAGTGGTGTTAGTGTGCAAAAAAGTTTCAAGTTTGAATTTTTGTGCTGAATTATCATAAGAATACTTTTAACATAAATCGTCATAGCTTGAGATTTCAAAGATCTGCATAAATTTATAAAAATAATGAACTTGCAGTGCGTATATATAAAGTAGGCAAAATAAAAGTTCTTCTATAGAATTGAAATAAAAATATTTTAACACTGACAAAAGTGGATATTCTGATTCTCATTGTGTCATTGTTTCGTTTCTTACAGGAGTTAAGTCAAACTCTGGGTGACGACAAGAACATATCGGAACATTTGAAGCTTCCGATACAACGCATAAACGACTACCAGCTCCTGCTAAAGGTATGTTAAACAATGTTTCACTACAGTCATAATATAGAATCTCACAATCTCACGCGTTTATTCGGAAATAAATGAAACATATAATATTATTAACATTATATTAAGTAGTAAGATTTAATGCAGAAAATTATGTTATGCCTCAACGTTTTAAATTTAAAAAAGCCACAAGGAGATTATGTTTAAAATTGTACAATACAAAATTGAAACGTGTAATTATTTAAGCGTGTAATGTATTTGACACTTTTTTGGCCGATGAAATCAGTTTAATGAAACAATCCCAGACAGCCGAGTATACGGATATACAGCGCGACCTATATTTCCATTCGAATTTCATCGCGCTCGACGAAAATAGCGTGGCGCTAAAGCACTTCCACTTTGCCTTGAAATTATATTTCTTCTCGACATAATTGCCATCCATTCATATACATCACGTTAGAGAACGCGAATCATCTGTATCATTGTAAATCTTTTGAGATGTACGAAAAGAACTTGATGTTTAATAGTTTTATGTCTTAAATAAAAATTTAATTTTTATTTGCATTTGATTTTTAGAGCAAATCGAAAAATTCCAGAGGAAATTACCAGATTGTGCTTCACTATTTTTCAAATATTCAGACAGTGCTTGATCGCAATGTTCGTCTACGCCAAGTAGATTAATTTTATTGGCTTCTGGGCCAGTTGCCCGGCAAAATAAAGCAACAAGAAGGCGACAACATTTAAAGTGCCAACAAGAATGTGTCTCAGTTAATAATTCTTAATCTATATATTGATTTTTGATATATACAGACTGTCGTTTTAACAAGTACATGCTTTAAAATAAATATATTAAACGTTAATATCTATCCAAAAGCTATCTATTTTATTGTAAATTATGTACAATTGTCGTGAAATATAATATCATACTTAACTATTACTTCGTCAACAAGTTTTTTTATTGAACTTGGTTGCAGTTTATCAAGTTGTAAGAAGTAATACAGATAATTCTTTACGGAATTTGCGATCAAAAATTCAGCACAAGCAAAATTTCCCACATACATAACTTTAAATAAAAATTAAAATATCCTTGTTAATGTTTTCTTTAAGAAGTTAAAATTAATCGAAGAATAAACTGTTTTTGATAAATCCGAACACTTTGAATATAAAATCGACGCTACATAATATTTCTCGTTTGTGCGTATAAACGTAGGCGTTATACAGATTTAGCGAGCTAAAAGCGGATCGTCTACACAGTAGATTATCCTACGAGAGCTATGATTTTGATCTATAGAGAGAAAAATTCCACGCAAACGCGACAGATATAAAGCATCACGACATAAGCGTATCAAAATATTGACAATCCATGTTAATTTGATTCAAGAATTAGAGGCACACCATTGCGCAAAATTTCTATCTTTTAGTAATAATCGGCGGAAAAAAAATCCATTTTAAGTTTCTTTATATTATAAATATAAATTTCGAATACAAAAAGAAGCTATATGTATTGTTTGCAGGAGCTAGTGAAGTATTCGACCCGATTAGGCGAAAACTGCGACGACCTACAAAAGGCGCTTGAGTTGATGCTAGGAATCCCTCATAGGGCAACAGATAATAAATTTATAAGTAATATCGAAGGTTATAAAGGGAACATTCACAAACTTGGTAGATTACTCACTCATGTAGGTATACCTGCACTATGAAATAATAAGTGCGTTTCTATAAATTGATTTGTCAATTCTTATTTTTCTCGTGATAATTAAAATATGTTAATATAAATAAGAAAAATTTAACATTGACAAAGTAATTTCTGGAAAACTATGTCTATATTTTTTCAGGAATGGTACACAGTTATCGATAAGGAAGGAAAAAGCAAAGAGAGATATTTGTTCCTGTTTAAAGCGCGAATTCTTGTCTGCAAAGTTAGACGGATATCAGAGGATAGATCAGTTTTCGTCCTAAAAGATATTATTCGAGTAAGAGAGTGTCGATTGTATAAACTATATTATAACTTTTTATTAAAAAAAAGAAAAGAAGAAATAATAAACACACTTAATTATTTGTTCTAGTTACCGGAAATAGAAGTGAAAGATCATCTCGATGATATACGATCCTTCGAGTTACACAATCCGACTATTTCTAATTATCCTATCACTTTGATAGCTCACAAGGATTCTGTAAAAGCCTGTTGGCTCAAGGAAATTCGTCAGTACGCCAGTGATCTTGTCGCTCTCGCCGAGCACGCAGCAGACGATCTTCAAGTGACCGAAGAAGCATCGGAAACTAAGGAAGAGCCCAAGAGCGACGAGAAGCCGGTGCCTGTTAAAATTGAATCGTTGCAAGTGAATCCAGAATCAACTACAGTTCAGAGTGATTCGGCGAAAGCGGCGAAAGAAGCGAAGAAGAATCCCAATTCATCAAAGGCAGATTCAACTAAGGATTCCACAAAGATTGTGGAGAAAAGGAAGGACTCCGTAGGCGCGACTGACGTGTCGGAAGTGAAGAAAACTAAAGTCGAGGAAGCAGACATGTCTCGAAGGTACTCTGCGAGTCGATATAGCGCGTCTTCGAAAGTTGTGGAAGGTGAGTTTTTATTAATGAAATCACATAAAACATTCTACAGCAAATTCGGTGTCATTAGCGAAAGCTCATTCAAAATTTTTTGACAAAATCGATTTGAATGAGTTGACAAAATCGATATTACGAATATATATATATATATTTATATATATACTTGAATATTTATATATACAATATACTTGAACGAATATACAGGCTGTCCCATTTTATTTTAAACAGTCAAATATCTGGAAATCACGGGATTTTGGAAAAAAATATTTTGTACAAAAATTTTTTTACTTCGAGGGAGACATAAGATGATGCTATTGGTTTATCCTTGGATAGTCGTTTGAAGCTCACGTGAAGGTCACCTTCAATTTCTTAAATGGAAATCTCCATTTTTCATGGCATAAAACTTTTGTACAAAACATTTTTTTCTAAAATCCCGTGATTTCCGGATATTTGCCTGTTTAAAATCAAATGGGACACTTTGTATAAGATATATAAGATATACATATTATTTATACACATAAGAATTTTTTTAAATCAATGTACATTTTTTTTTATAATTATGTTATAATTTATATAATGCTTATTAATAAAAAAATTTACATCGAGGATTAAAAAAATTCTTTTTGTTTTTTTAAGCCATCTCTTTTAGAAGAAATAAGATATTGATATTAATCGCTTTGTTACACTCGAGCACCATGATGTTCAGAAATAAAAAATGCAAATAAAATCTTATAAATATATCGTGTATTAAGTAGTAAGATAATTTGTAATTAATCACTGTAGAGTATTCGTCGGTATCGAGCAATCGTAATGGCGTGTCTTCGTATATGGAGGCGGGAATGTCTGCCGTTGAGACGAGGATGTCTTCGTCATCGCAAGGAATGGGTCAAATATCGGAAACCACGACTTCCTACGAGGCTGCGATCGCCGGTGGATCAGCAACGGATTCGAATGTCGAAAGTAAAACAGCCAAAGTTACTCTCAGCACTGACGCTGGCAAACCGGTGTTTATCAAAACGATAGAGGGACGCAGCGTAGAACGTAAGTGTATAGTATATGACATATTATTCAGAGATACAATATATATCAGATGTACCATATTTTGACTAAATATTAATAAAAATTAGCCACCTTTCCTGAAATCTGCATTGATTTACTAAACCTGCGAATATTTTTTTCTATTTCAAATACGTGTATGCAAAATTGATGTGACAGCACATTCAAAGTATTTAGAGAAAAATATTTTCGACGGTAATATATTGTATTATAATTTAATCGCATAAAACTTTCTGCAAGTAATTATAAAAAAATACATATATCTACAACCACTACAAAGCATAAGATACATTTTTACTGTTTTAGCGATGCGATCAAAAAAGGCATTGATACACGCCATAGGTAAAGTGACACGTACTTTTCTCAGTTTATCAACGTTCACTGCTTTCTTCGCATTTTTTCACACATCTCTTTTGACTTTTCATATTTTTCTTACAGTCAGCTGAGTAAATTGCTTTTAGACGTCGCTAAACGTGTCGGTTAATTAAATACGCTTCATCGCTAAATGTTCGCTATATGTATATACAACTTTTACACTAAACATTTACATTTCACTACACTGATATCATTACATTTATACACTTACACATATGACACGGACATATTATCACATTACCTCGTTTCTTTACTATCCGAATATTCGTATCTATTTTGCAGATTAGTTTATATTAATTGAACAGTTTTTTATTTACATGCAGATACTTTAACAAGATATGCTTTATGAATTGCTTTATCAATTTCTTTATAGATAAAACAATATTCAGGCGCATTCTATTAAAAATAGTCGTATGTGTGTTATTTTGAGCACAGTTTTTTATGGCGGGGCAATAAAAATAAATCAGAACGATCCTTTTATTAACTATATTGAAAAAATAATTCTCCCTGATGCGAGCTTTATATTTGAAATGTTGCTCCCTTTTTCATAAATTTGAAATGTATCACTGTTTCATGAATTACGTCAAAAACACTCTATTATATTCATACAGGGTGATTCTCGTAAGCGTACTCATTGAATATCTCGGAAAGGACGCATTTTCATGAAAAATGTTTCAGATAAAATTTGTTTGGCCCTAAGGGAGGCATTAAAAACTACTATTTGTTTGACCTTGAGAGAAGGCGTTAAGGTTATGCCAAGGTCACCTTGGTTTCCTTAAATGGAAATCTATACTTTCTACGCCATTCTTGTAGCGAATGTCGAGGCGTTTTCGAAACATTGATTACAAACCCTTTTTCGATGAGAACTTTCTGAGTTATGAGTCTTCAAAGTTTAAGTACTGACTATTAAGCGCGGCGTGTTTTTATGGTGGGCGGTGTCTGCCACAATTGTTTTCAACGTTGGCGTACGGGAAGCAAGGAAGAGAGTCAATGTTAAGCCGACAACAAAAAACAACATAAAACGGTTGGATTACTGCTTTCAAGTATTTATTTTTTAGGAATGTTTTTTTCCTTGCTGTCTCAATCGGGCAACCTCTGCGTGGTACACTTTGTGTGTGAGTAATACCGGTGATACTTAAACTTTGAAGACTCATAACTCGGGAAGTTCTCATTGAAAAAGGATTTGTAACCAGTGTTTCAAAAACGTCTTGACATCGGCTATAAGAATATGCCATAAAAAGTATAGGTTTCCATTTAAGGAAACCAAGTTGACCTTGGTGTAACCTTAAGACCTTCTCCCAAAGTCAAACAAATAGTAGTTTTTTAATGATCCTTTCAGGGCCAAATAAATCTTATCTGAAATATTTTTCACGAAAATGCGTCCTTTCCGAGATATTCAATGAGTACGATTACGAGAATCACCCAGTATATTATTCATATTCAATGTATATGTATATTATTCATGCTCAATGTATATGTATATTTTATATATAATGTGCCAATCATTTCATTAAATCCATTGTGAAATCAATCTTTACATTCTGAATTATTAAATTCTGAATTATTAATATAATTATATTATTTTTTCCCCGTCGATACTGAAAGAAATAGCGTTAAATTACGACATAAGATTACATTACTTATCTCAAGTATTTAAAATAACGGATAATATCGAAATTGATATCAACTTCTCATATTTTTATTTTTGGGGATTACGACTCTCTCTTGCCTCGTGCTAATTTTAGTTGCCTTTTTATACAGCTGGAGAAGTCGCTACTTTTGAATGTACGATGTTAACTACCGATGCGACAACTAGGATGCAATGGCTGAAGGATAACAAACCGATGGAGGACAAGTTGGCTGATCGCGTCATTACTTCGATGACAGACAACACATGCAAACTTGAAATTCAGAACGTTCATGAATCAGATTCCGGCATATATATTGCACGCGCTCTGAATATAGACGGCGAAGCAACCTGCACTGCACAACTAGTGGTTCAACAATGTAAGTCATAATAACTGTGAACAATCGAAAAGTCTAAAGAAGACTAAAATTCAGCTTTTCTTGTGACATATCTTTTAAATATTTATGTCATTTGTGATAAGGATAAAGAGTGCGCAAAATAATTTTTTTACTTTTTTTATAAAAAATGTTGCAGTGAGTCCAGAAGAGAAAAAGGCAAGAGCAGAAGCAAATGGTCCTATATTTTTAGTGCGTTTGAAAGATACCGAACTCCTGGAAAATACTTACCTTCGTTTTATGATTAAAGTTAAAGGAGATCCTAATCCGGAAATAAAATTGTAAGTTTCGACTCCCTTTATCTCTCTCTCTCTCTCTCTCTCTCTCTCTCTCTCTCTCTCTCTCTCTCTCTCTCTCTCTCTCTCTCTCTCTCTCTCTCTCAATGTAACAATATTCTAAAATACATATTTTAAAAGTTGAAAAAAAAATTAAGCGAGAGAAAGAAATAATAGCACTTATATCATTTCATGTTCTTTTAAGATTAAATAAAAAAAATTGATTTTAAGAAAATTAGTGTGTCAGTATGCATTATCTCGTAGCTTTAAGGACGGCGTCCTCATCGATGCGAAACACGAACGCGTGAAAATTATCCGAGACAACGCTGAGAAGGGATTTTACGAGATAGTGATCGCCGACGTTCAGAAGCAGGATGCGGGAAAATACTCGTGCACAGCTATGAATCGTTACGGCGATGCCACATGCGAGGGAATAGTGACGGTAACAGACGAGAAGCCGCTTTTCCAAGGGCTTCCGGAAGGTCTTCTGGAACTGGGAACTGAACCGCGTTTTCTTTGGTCGCGCGATGGACAACCGTTCGATCCTGAAGAGAGGTTTAAAGTACTTTTTAAAGACAGCGAGGATACTCTGGCACTGGTGTTCCAGCATGTGAAACCCGAAGACGCTGGTCTCTATACGTGCGTGGCGCAGACTAGCACAGGTAAACAAATCATATACAGGGTGTCCGGTAACTCACGGGTCGCACGCCGCTGGCATGCCTACAGTTACATCCTACGGTCTAGCCGTGCGCCTATTCGGCAATCTTTTTTAATTAATACATTAAATAATTATTGCGAGAATTGCAAAATGGTAAAGAATTTTTCTGTTCTGTTTAATGTGCTCTGTCCGCTCGTTGGTCCGTGAGTTACCGGACACTTTATATATAACAGTTAATATCAGTTGCATTTTTATGTATGTATGTTTACAATCTTGTCCTTAACCACACTTATCCATCTATTCTCTTACATACCGAGCTGCGCATATTCGCTTATTCTACTACACAAATTTTAATTCAATATTATACAATCTTTCCTTATACTATTACTATCACAGACAAATTCGCGTTCTTTACCGCTCTTTTTCTCTCTCATTTAGCTCATTTTATTTATAGCTCATTTCTTTGTTTTCTCCTTTTCTTCTCTTTCTCTATCCATATTTTTTCAATACATTCCCTTTTACCAAATCATCATTTCACAGTCTCTTTAATCTTTCTTTCTTATTCTTTCCATTTCCATACGCTCTTCCCCTGGTAGAAATTTTAATCAGGCTCTTGCATGGCACTGATCAGCGTGCCATACTGCCATTTCAGGAACTGACATGACATGCTAGTAAGCACCATCCATAAAATCGTCACGTTTTGCCCGCTGGCGCCACAATTTTGTAATGGATTTTGCGTAATGCTAGCATGGCGCTAGCATGGCTCTAATAAGATACTATCATAATGCAAGCATGGTGCTGGCAACGTGACAAAGGCGCGCGCGCGCGCGCGCGTGTGTGTGTGTGTGTGTAATTATGATTAATAAATTTAGATTTTAATGCATTTTATGTCAGTGTTTTACTTTTACGAAAAAATACTTTTAAACTATTCGATTATTAACGAAAAAACTATTAAACGCTATTAGTTTTTAATAGTTTGTAATAGTTTTTGGTAATAATCGAACAATTCAACAATATTTTTCGTAAAAGTGAAACACTGGCATAAAATGCATTAAAATCTAAATTTATTAATCATAATTAGACACACACATACATACACACACCAAGTAATAAGTAAAAGTATATAATAAAATAAAGGTTTACAAAAAATATTTATAAATATTTTTATTAAATTATTATATTATATTATTATATTATAAATATTATTATAATTTTTTACTATTTATCTTTGATTTATTTGATTCGGTCTTTTCTATGTCCTTCCCAGTCCTTTGCATTAGAAAGTGCTGCGCTCAATGCCTTTATAAGATGATTTCTTGATACAACTTCTCCTTTAAATTCTTTTTGAAGAAATATATCTAAAAATCCGCGAATATACATTTACATTTTAAGAATTATTTTAAGTATTATTTATATAATTTTATATATATATGTACCTTCTATACATGTGTAAAATGGTTCATCCTTTATTATTTTCTTGCCATGCATAATTTTAGTTGCAGTATATGTAATTGCTACATCGCGCGTTATACAGATTTTTAATAACATTGTTATATTTTTTGTTAACGTTGAATTAAAGTCTACATAACGATAAAGATGTTCACACTAAAATAAAATTAATTTTTAAATTTTTAACGGGATGTACACTCTTTTTCAAATAATAATAAATTATATTTTGTAAAATAAATAAACTCACAAAATTGGATCGGAATTCAATATCATTGTCTAATTGAACATTGATATTCCTAAATTCTTCATTTGTTTTTGCAGGTAGCATTGTCTCATATTTTTTTGAGAACATATTATCTGCATCCATTTTGGAACTGGTCTGGCTTATCATTTTACTTTTTATGATTTTAGTATCATGTAGTAAACTTTCAAATTTTATCGATATTAAATTTAATTCTGTGAAACAAAAATAACAAATTAAATTGCATGTACATACATAAACAATTCGACAGCGAGATTTGTATATTTGAATAATATGTAAACAAATCTTACTTTTATTAATTTTTCTTGATTCACTTTCCAGCATTAACAATTTTGACCAAATTATATTTATATTGGTGTTAAGCGGGTTCAGTTCTGAAAATTAAATTTTATAAAATATTACTACATACAAAAATTAATGTCGTTACTGTTTATTAGTCTTTATAAGTGTACAGTAAATTTAAACATTTTTATAAAAATATTGTATACCTTTGTCGTTTGTATAGTCCATTAAATCGTTTTCAGATATGACAGGTAATTGCGTATCAAGCAGCATAGTAGGTGTAGTAGGTGATTCCATACAGTAGGTCTCCGTAGTAGGTGATTGGTCTAAAAAATGGTAATTTAAAAAAAATTTACTATGTATGTGATATTGGAAGGTGTAACGAGAAATAGCGCTTGGACATTTTAAAATGCTATCATACCTGACTGGTTGCAAGAGTTTTTTGTAATCGCAGGAACTTCATTAAGCAAATGTTTTATTTCTTCTATATTCTTGTTTTACCATATCGTGGAGTTGATTAATATTTTTTTTTTGTATATGGAGGACCAAGAAATGAAACTTTCAATTTTTTTTTTTTTTTATCCCAGTTAATCCAGGCTGAAGGAACAATATCAATTTCTTTCGTAGGACCTTTTTTCCCACGTTTAATAAACCTTACAATTTTGAATCGATAAATCATTTCATCATCGTTACTCTCATTGTCAGACATCTATAAATATATATAAATATATCCTTATATGACGCTGAAGCTGGCAGCCACACTCATTATTAGTGATAAAAAAAAAAATTGAACAAATTAGATACAAAGTCCACAAGTCTAAATTTTTGGCTTAGAATCACATTCAGAATCATGTTTAAAATGTCATTTTAATAATTTAGAATTATTAAACATTAATTTCAAGATATTTATTTAGTTTAGGCCCTTCACCTCAAATTTTTATTAAATTATGCTCATTCGACGCGTTTTTGCGTGAAATTAAAAAAATTTAGCACAAAAAATTGTCGCTCTGCCGCGCGAAACGAGATATTAACCGTTTAAGTTGATCACTCTCTCAGGTTAAGAAAGCTCATATCGAAGAAATGGATGATATATATATGTGTGTTAATTCCAATAATATAATACTTACCGTGCCACACTGCCACTTCCACTATTTGTTCTTGTTCAAACTATTTTTATTTTCACACAATTATCACACAAAACTCGCAATTTTATTTATTTAATAAAAAATTGCTACACTCTTGACACTGTTTTAAACTTTTTAACACTATCGAGACGGCGCTGAAACGTGTTATCGAGTCGCATTTATTTTATTTATATATTTTTTTATATATATATTTATATATACAATTTTTTTTAAAGTTATATTTTATTATTTTTAAAAGATTTTATACATATAAACTTTTTTTTGAAGATTTTATATTATAATTGTATACAATAAAATTTTAAAATACATTTAATGTAAAAGGAAAATTACAAATATTTTTTCCCTGTTTGTTTCGTCGAACATTGATAATCTTATTAATTTATGTTTAATTTTATGTACAGAAATTATTTTTTTTTCTTTTAAAGGATTGAGGTGTAATTCATACATATTTAAATTTGTTGAATCACAAGGGTAAATATATAATGAATTTTTTACTTTCCATATTTTAATTTCTAATAAAATATTATTTTCTATGAACATTTTAGTTACCTCACATATTTTGTTATTTTCTAACAAAATCATATTGTTTGGTGGCTTTGTTGTTATTATCACTGCTTTATATTTGAGCTTTTTTATATCTGTTTTATTTCCTTTTAAAATATTTATAGATGGAAGTGAACATGAATGATTAAGATATATATTAATTTCATGCAGCCTTCGAGCCAATTGCGCCAAAATATTGTGAGGTGATCTTATAATAGTTTTTAATTGTCCTAAATATGTTTCAAATGGAAACGCACTTATTGAATTTAATCCACACTGCATATTTCTTACATCATCTGAAAATGCATTAAATTATGGACATTTATGACTACAAATTTTGGACCATAAAGTTTTTCTGCTAGCACAATAAACTTTGTAAGTAATTTTTCAGTATAATCTGTACATTCAAATGCATTTTCCATTGATAACATTCGACACGCTACATGAAGTAATAAAAATGTTTGTATTTATCGCTGTCTAAATGTCTTTTAATATTACAGGGCCACGAGAATAGCAAAATAAATCGGTAATCCGTGGCTTTAAATTTAGCATGGTGCTCAATACCTCTAATTTTTCGGTGGAATTCCTCGGGCTGTTGAAATCTTATTTTTTCTATTCGACTTGACAATAAATTTTTTTGATTATTACTCAGCTGCACATTAAAATCAGATGACATCCAAGCATCAACTAAACGTTTCATAACTCCTAGGTAGCACAAGTGCATCGAATCGAGTAGGAAATCATTGACCATGTTGACTGGCGGCTTTATGCATAGTAAAGGTGATACTGCTACATGATGGTCCATATGAGAAAAATTGCGGAAACTTTCATCGCTTCTTTTAGGGCAATTAACATCTAAATATGTGGCTATCTTATGCTTAGTTTGACGCTCTATCAGACATCGTTCACAACTATATTTTGCATTGTGACCTTTAATACATTTAAGGTATGCTCTGGCAGGTGTGTCACAAATGAAACATTTTATTTTTATACCATAATGTTTGTTATTTATAACTGTACCTCTGTTTTGCAAGATATTAATTTCAGCAATAAAATCTTTCATAAAAAAATTGATTGATTTGGGTTTACTATTACCCACATAAGCAGCAGCTACAAAGGGCTTATAAATGTCTGGCTTGAAATGTATTTTTGATTAGAATAGGCCACATAGATTTTATACTCGATTTAAATAGTTTCATTCCATCAATGTTAATTTGTAATTCGATAAGGTTGCCAGAATGTATTTCAGAATTGACGCAAGATTGCAATCCTTGTTCAACACCAAAATACGAATATTCTCCATTTGTAATGTTATCGCAGTCTTCCATTTTGCTTATTTCATATGATAAGGTACTAGTTTTTAAAAACGTTGTTGATGATTTTGGTAATGTAGGCAAGAGTCTTTGTTGAAGGATTTTTAACAATTTATCAAGATGTACTAGCGGAATTTTACATTCAATAGCCCACGATCGTAGTTTCGATATTTCTTCGATTTCTTCTTCATCAATTATATGCTCATTAACATCACTCTGATCATTATTATTATCAATTTCTTCATTCACAGTTTCTGAATCACTTCCATTAAAATCATTCATCACTTCTCCTACGTTTATATTGTCCGTATAATTACTGGAATCACTCAACACTTCTTCTACGTTTATGTCATCCATATGATTTACATCGGAATCACTCAATTCTTCTCTTACATTTATATTATCCATATAATCTATTGTAATAAAACATATAATCTATTATAATAAAACATTTCTTTTCTATTGTTATATATATATTTGCTTTAATATTATTAATTACATGATCAATACCTTTTGAAGTTACACCGCTAAAACTTGGTTTATTACATGCATCACGTTTTCCTCGTTCATATAAATAATCGCGTTTAAATTTTTTAAGTTGACGATATTTTTGTGCTCGAATTTTTTATTTTATTTTCTTGGCATCCATTTTCGTATGGAGGTAGAGACAGTTTGACGCAGTCAAAAAATGATGCAGTTTGACGCAGTTTGTTTAAAAATATCTGAAATAATTATCTACGCATGCGTAGATCACTATTAAAAAATCTATTTCTGAAAACAAAAAGTTCAATGGCGCAAATGTGGGCCTAATGTGGCGCAAGTGTTGGCCGCCCAAATCCAGACCTACGCCTATTTAATTTTATAGTAATGCTACCTCATTTATGTATCAGACAAGCATGGCCCTGATATGGATCTTTCTAGTTTTTTAGAATAAGGCTGTGGCATGGCAAACTTGTATGGCGCTGACAAATGTCATGGCACCAGTAAGGCAATTTCTACCAGGGTCGCTTTATTCCTTTTATTATTCAATATTACAATCTTTATTTTCTCAATACATAATTCTTATTTTCTCTTTTTTTAAGAAACGGCACAACGTTTCCATCATATCAACTAATGATTCCTTATTTCCCACTACGAAAACCATATCGTTTGTATACGTCAAGGATCGTATCCTCGTCGTTACCTAATGATATAGGTACTTCCTATCCCTCTTTTCTCCATTTTCTTATCTACGTTTGCAATATATAAACTAAACAGTAGTGAACTCATTATACAGCCTTGTCTGACTCTTTTCTTGGTCCTAAACTTGCTAATTAAACCTTTCTCCGTCCTTATCGTTATGTCTGTCTCTTATATCTTCTTTAATCTTATATCTTCTAAATCTCTTCCTATCTGTTCTTAGCTGCTCACGCCATTCTTTCTTAGTATCTCCTGTAATGCTTCTTTCTTATCAAATATTATCAAATGCTGTTTTTAAGTCCACAAATAATAACGCATCCTTTCTTCTTTTTCATCTGTTCTTTCTTCTCTCTTTGTATTATATGATTTAATACAAAAATATCATCCAGTGTAGATATTCCTTTCTCGAAGCCTGCTTGACTCTCTAGTCCAACATCTCCTTCTGGTCCACTTCTTCTTCCAATTTATTCCGCAAGGTTTCAGCTTATATCGTATATATCAAGCATAATAGCAAAATTCTTTTATAATTTTCCGTTTTCTCTTGATCACTTCTTTTTCTTTAAGGGAACTATTATCTCGTTTTTTAATCTATAAGTAGAATACCTATAGATTAACTAATCCTCTTCTTATCGCTATTCCTCTATATTTCCGTACTTCCATTGGGATCCCGTCCACATCGACCGTCTTTTATTTTCATTTTTTTACTGCTTTCCAAATATTTTCCTATTCCAACTCATATTTTTCCTCTGCCTCGCTTTATGTCTTTCTGTTATTCTCTGCTATCTCGCTATTCCTTTCCGTACCTCCTAGTAATTTCATAAGTGCTTCCTCCATTCCCTCATAAAAGTGCTTCGAACGTTACTCGCTACACCCATCCACACATATGCTCTCTAACCAAGTCCTTGGATTTTTATTTAAAAAAAACTTATAAAATATCGGAATATTCTATTTGGAGTTTAATAATTTTTAATTTTTTAATTAATCTGTATAGTCACTATTATTTGTTTTGTTTTTTAACAATGCACCAAATTTTTAATTAAAACTGAAGAAAATTGTCGATTATTTATTTATTATTAATATTATTAGAGAATAGTAAATGGATTAATTTGTAAAAATTCTGAAATTTACCTACATACACTAGGCAATATTAGCTGCAGTGCGGAGTTGACAGTGCAAGGTGCTGTGAATCAGTTGCTGAAGGATCCGGAAAAGCCAAAACTCCAAACAGAATCAAAGCAGTCTGAAGTGAATGTCGGTGGTTCCGCGATGTTGGATCTGCAAGTGAAGGGTTATCCCAAGCCAGACATCAAGTGGACCAAAGATGGACAGGAAATCGTAGCCGGTGGCAGAATCAAGTACTTATGGGAAGATGAGGAGTCTCTCTCGCTGGTAATCAAACAAGTCACTGCCAAGGACGCCGGTGTCTATACCATCACGGCAAAAAATGATCTTGGCGAAGATAGTACACAGATCGAGCTCATTGTTAAGTCCGCACCGAAGATCACAAAGAAACAGTCCGACATGATGATTCTTATCGACGAGACAGGTACAATGACCGTGCAGGTGGAAGCCACTCCGGCGCCGGAAGTCACGTGGTATAAAGATGGTCAACTAATTCAGGAAAGTGATCGTATTAAAATCGCGAAGGAGGGCAGCGAAACGTATAAGTTGGTGATCAAGAACGCCAAGCTGACTGACGAGGGCTCGTACTCGATTGTCGCGCGAAACGATATCAATCAGACGACCGAAATCTGGAGAGTCGGCATCAAATGTCCGCCAAAAATCAAAAAGGGATTGGGCGAACCGCGAGTGATCAACGAGAACGACACGTTGAATCTTTTGATCGAGGTAGACTCTGACAGCGAGCCGACGGTGAATTGGTACAAGGACGGGCAGCTTTTAACCGCAAGCGATCGCGTGAAGATGACGAAAAATGGAAACAATTATATACTCACCGTCAGCGGTGCGACGGTGGAAGATGCGGCGGTTTACAAGGCTGAAGTGATAAACAAGCATGGAACAATTTCAGATGAAACAAGAGTCAGGGTATGTAATTTGATATTTTAGTTTAAATTATTCTTTCAAATTGTGCCAAAATACCCATACAGCACAAAACATTGCATTTACATTGCAGCAATGTTACAATCTTGCAAGTTGCAAAATATTGTTGAGAGATTATTGGAACATTGAATTGTAATATTTCATGAGAATGTGACAGCAACATTGCAAAAACATTACAAGAGCAATATTCGGTAATCGCTACCCAGGGAGAAATACAAGTCGAAGAAACGTCTAATAGACATCGTCTATAGACGTCTATTAGATGTCTATTAGACGTTTCTTCGACCTGTATTTCTCCCTGGGTAGTTCGTTCGTTTACCGCTATGCGACGCGCGTTGCAAAATCTATCTCGTATTTAAGTTTTAGTCATAATGATATAAAACTTCCAAAGAGTGGCTAGTAAGATTAAAGACCTTAGTAACTATTTTTATCAGTTAAATTTTTCTGATACGACCCTAACACAGGGAATTCAGATATTGAACTGATTGTTCAGAAATCGGACAGATAAATGTCCGAATAAATAAAAATATATACAACATTATTCTAAGATTGCAATAACAATGCATTATTGCAAATTCATTACATTGCAATATTACTGTAATATTTTGTTACAATCTTCCTAAAGGCAGACATTTTAACGTTGTTGCAATCCCACAGCAATGATGCAACAACATTTTGCAGTAAATTTGCAATATTGCAACATTGCGATGAAAGATTGATGCAATGTGATGCAATCTTTGTGTGCTGTATGGGTAAAATCCATTAACTAAAAATAAGTAAACGCAGAATTTGATTTGGTCAATTATATCTGATTTCGATATCTTTATACAATTTTCGCAGGTACGCGGCATACCGAGGTTTAAGACAAAGCTGTGCGACATTAGCGCAAATGAGGGCGAGTTAAACATTGAGTTTACAGTGGAGGTTGAGGGTTTCCCGAAACCGAGCGTACACTGGTTTCTGGGCGACGTTGAAATTACGGAAAAGCGCACGGAGTACACCCGTATAGAAGAAGGCGATAATCACAAGCTCATCATCAAGGAGGTAAAAACTGAGTTGAAGGGCCACTACACCTGCAAAGTGCAGAACGAGTACGGTGAGAACTCGAGCAGCTCTAATCTGACGGTGAACACGCGACCGAAATTACTGAAGAAATTGGCGGACCAACGGTTGAACGAAGGCGACACGCTAAAGTTGACATTCGAGGTGTCCGCCACGCCGGATCCGGAAATCAAATGGTACAAGGATGGCGAGGAGGTGACCGCAGACGCCAGGATTAAAATCACCAGGGACAGCCAGCGCAACGAGAGTTACGATTTAACGGTGACCTTGCTGAAGGGCAGCGACGGTGGCCTATACGAGGTGCGAGCTGAAAACGAGCTTGGCTATGTTACCAGCAAAAGCAAAGTTATTGTGATGAGTAAGTATTCGCTTTTTTCCCCGCACACATTTTTTGGTGACCGCAGACGCCAGGATTAAAATCACCAGGGACAGCCAGCGCAACGAGAGTTACGATTTAACGGTGACCTTGCTGAAGGGCAGCGACGGTGGCCTATACGAGGTGCGAGCTGAAAACGAGCTTGGCTATGTTACCAGCAAAAGCAAAGTTATTGTGATGAGTAAGTATTCGCTTTTTTCCCCGCACACATTTTTTTCACGATCAAATTATAGAACTCGACTTTGTCCAACCAATTCGAATACGCATTCCACGTTAACAAGTTTAGTATCAATTTATTTTTATTTTTACATCAACACTCTTTTTAATGTTCTTTTAATTTTTTTGTAAAATTAAAATTCTGTAAATCAATCCCCAAGTTCTATTTTAGTCGAGTTCTAAAATTAAAAGCGAGAATAATTTTGATAGAACTAAAAGAATCTCATGAAAATTGTTGAAGTCGTAACATTTGCCGGAACGATGATCAACAATAAACAACGTACATTTTAGTTTTTGAAGAATTACAGCGGTAAAAATCGTCGTTTTTCGACAACGTTTAGTAAGTACTGAATACACAAACAAAACAGTACAATTTCTTCTCCGTTTTATTCTTGTGTTATTCCCGATGTGACATTTTGGTGATGTGAATCTTTTGACGACCTTTAATGACGAGGTTTAATTAAAATATCTTTTTTCTCGTAGTTCTAAAAATTGTATAAAAGATCTGTATGTAAAAAGAACTCTCCTGATTTCCTTAAACGAAAGGGATGAGCACACAATTGCGTTTTTAACGCAAAAGATTATTTGGTTCTTTTCTTTGTTTTTTGTTCATTTTTACCATACAATTGTGTTCTGCTTCTGTGTGGTTACGAAATTTTTTCGATTTTTATATCTTTCAACTCTCTCGAACTTCGAAATGTCACAAATGCTGGCATATCGCGTTTTGAAGCACGTTACGACAAAGATTCGAAAGAATGTACTTCCGTAGCGGAAGATGAGAAGGTTGATGAAAAGTCTCCGAAAAAGAAAGCCGAAAAGGCAACGGTGAAGGGAGAGGAAACGCAAGCGAAGAAATTGGTGGAGGAACAATTATCGCAGCAAACGACCTTGCGCGCCGAAGAATCGAAATCAGGAGGTAACGTGCACTAATTTGTCCAGCTAAATTAGAATGCGCAAAAGTGAAGCAGATTTTCAACAATGTTTCGTTTGAAACATAACGAGCAATACGCTTTGACAATAAGGACATGAATCCTTGTTATGACACACGCTATGATAAAATTTTATTCCACACTGGAAAGTGCTTTAATAAAAAAAAAAAAATTTTTCTTCAGATAATTTTTACTAAAAAAATATCATGCATGTGAGAACTAAGCTATTGTTTGCAACATCTGAATTTTTGTTATTTTTTTATTTCAATGTTTTTATTAGAAGATCGTGTATTTTTTAGAATTGATAATTAGATATCACTTGTTGTTATTGCTTTGTACAATCGATCCCCTAAATTTATTTGAGCACAAAAAAAAACACATAAATCTGTCACGCACAAATACGCACAAATACGCACAAATATGCACGCACTCACGCACGGCACATAACTTACAGCTAGCAAAGGTATAAAAGTCGTTTGGCGGTAGTTTTGTAGCGAAACAATATCTGATAAATTTAGGTCGTGTCAAACTGGAGAAACAAAACGTTCAAGTAATTCAAGGGGACAATGAAACGATCACGATTTCCGTGGCCTCCACAACATCACACGAAGCTATACTCACAGGTAATTTACATACACCACGCTAGAAATTCATTACTACTCTATCAGTCAACGCAAAAGTCTAAAAAATATTTTTTCGAATTATTTACAAAGTCTTTTAGACATTTGCGTTGTCTAGATACACCATTCGATAATTAACAAGAACAAGCATTAATTATAAACGAACGAAAAACACAATTTGCATTTTGCTACAAAACTTTTATTTATTATTACCGAGCTCGTTTTTTTTCTTTTTGACACATTATAATATACATCGCGTAATTAAAGCAAGAAGCATTTTAGAGGCCCCTCGCCGCTGATTCTCGGTAACTTTTTAATATAACTTGAAGAATATTATTTCTAAAATCGCAAAGACACGCGTTGCGCGCGTGCTAGTTGTCAAAGACGCATCAGGTCAGACCGTTCACAGGTCCCGACGAAAGTCACACAATCAGCAAGATGACGGCGACCAAAGTTGAATGTCGGGAGTTCGATTCAGGACTCTGTGTTGAAGAAGTCGCTTCTTACGCTTATACCGTACAAGAAGAGAACTCCAGACCGCAAAATGGCGTGCTAATCGAGGAATTTTCGGAGACCGAGGAAAAGAAAGGAAATCTGGATATTAATCGAGGTCACGATTGCGTCACGATCGTCTCCGTTTCCGATGACGAATCAACCTTGAAAGCACTGTCACGGGATGTCAGTACGGAGGACGTGCAATTTGTCGATCAGCTACCGGAAGATCAAAAAACGACAAATAGCATTCTCCATGAACTTTACTTGGATGGAACGTCGGAAGGGGAGAGAGTTTTGGAGAACATTAGGCATAGAATCACGGAGACCATCGCCGAAGAGCTCCTCTCCGAGGAGCCGTCATCAGTGTCTGTGCAGCGAGAAAGTCTGGATATGAAAGAGACGAACGTATCCAGTCGAAATCCGACGATCAGCGACGTGAACCCGACGAGGAAGGTCGCGGAAAAAACCTTCGAGCAATCGGATTCTGCCGTGGAATTAGCGAAGGAAACCGCGAAGCTTGAAAAGACGAAAACTTGGATATCGTCGAGCGAAACACTGTCGAGACAGAACTCTCAGAAGGCGCAGCTCGACAATGACGACAACGAGGAGATTGATGAGGAGATGAGGGATCTCTTAGCTCGTGTTAAACGGCAACGTAGCGTGTTAGATGAAATCCTCGATAAAGAATCGGGCAAAGAGTCAGGTATGATAGCGAGGTTCCATGAGCAGCTTCAACTTAACTCTAATCTCTCAACGACTCTGCCGACTTGTCGACGCATAGATCATGGATCATCTGTATTTATAGATGACAGATCAATCTCGTTAATTCTTTTGCTAACCCTTTCTCTTTCTCGCATGTAATTAATCTCACAATTTTATCGTACACTTTGGTGACACACTGGCATGCACGCGTGGAAACATAAAACATTGATAGAAAATCTCTTAATGGAAATTTATAAAATTCTCCCTTCTTCCTTGCGCGATGTTGTAGTTGATTGTATCCTTAAACTTTTATCTCATTCGAGGCTGACTTACAGCATTGCATTACTCTTCGTCGTTTTACGTCAAGGTAAGATTACGATTTTTCTCCTAAAAAAATGCTACTCGATCTTAATTGTGCGGCTTGCTGAGCACCTGCTTAACTATGAGTTTTAGGTAAGTATATACTAAAAACGCATACATTCTTTGATAAACATAATACATAATAAATATAATTAATGATTGAACTTGGATGCATCAGTATATTAGTATTTAAGCTTATTTCGTGACATACATAAATTTTCTGGATGTTATCTAGCTTGGTTAAAACATTGTAATAAACAAAGGTAAACTATTTCCTAAATATCACATTTTGTATCTTATATTACTATTATTACTATTATTCGTATTGTTTTTATTATGCAATTGTTTTTCTCAAATTTAATTCTCAAAATTTTGTATATTTTTAAATATTTAAAATTAAATTGTTATTTTTTTCTTAATATTTTTTACTTAAAATATTGTTTTTTTATTTAAAAGATTCGTCGAAGAATCCATTATAAAATAAATCGATATTTATACGCATGAAAGATCACATATGAGTGCTCACTGATTATCAAATATTCAAACGTGGAAGAAACGGCGCGCGGCCAAATAAGTGCGTGGTGACTTCAATGCGCGCATAGCACAATAAATGCATTCGTGCGCATTAATGGTGCATCACGCACTGCTCACGTATTACGCGCAGTTTAAATCATGGTGTTCTCAGGCATTCAGCCGCGTTGCTCTTCCATAACAACACTTTCGTATAACATTTATTTGCGATCTTACATATATAAATATCTACGTATTTATATACTCGACAAAAAATAGAGAACAGACGCTAAAAATTGAGCAATTTTAAATCGCTGAAACTGAACTCGGCAAAATACCATCGCAGATAAAAAATTAAAAATGCATTTTGAAGCTTTCATAACGAAGTTTGTATTTTTACCTGCTTTAAACTGTTTTTGAAAAGAAAAATAACGTTTACCGGCAATAACATTAGCGTAAAAAATGTAGGTTTAATTTCAAAGTCACGTAATTTAACTAAAAAAAATAATATAACAAAATTTAAAGAAATACATTTTATAGATCAAATGTTGCAATTTTTTACACTTATAAACTTTGCAAGAAAAAGTTTTTTATCGATGAGCTACAGAGAGTTTAAAAATATATAATTTTAAGGAATACTAGAATGTTTTTTTTTCGGTCTTGAAAATATAAAGATAAAACATTTTCAAAAACGATCTAAAGCACGTAAAAGTACAACTTCAAGCTTTGAAATACTTTTTTAATTTTTTATTTACGATGATTTTCCGCCGAATTACAGTAATTTGCTTAATTTTTTGAACATCTGAAAAATGTTCTTTATTTTTTATGTAGTAGTGTATTTTTAAATTTCTTTAAAAAAGCATTGTCATAAAGCGAATAAATCAAGCGATAAAATCAAAGTTAATTTTATATTTTAATAAAATAATACAAAATATTGTCGGCAAAAAAAAGAGTTACATATCAACGTTCTTTGAATCGTCGCTGATGCATCTTGAGTATGACACCGTAAGATTTGTTTAAATAAATGCTTTTTCGAAAGATGATTGAGTTTCTTGCGTTTTTATTTCTCGCAGCTTCGCCTCATGTCGTAAACACAAATCTCACCGATCGAACGATCTTCGAGACACAGAACACGCAATTTGAAGTGCACGCCACCGGTTTACCGAGACCAGACGTAAAGTGGCTTAAAGACGGCAAGCCTCTTCGAGCCGGGGGACGGGTAAGGATTACGACTTCTGGAGAAACCTACGAGATGGATATCAGCAAGGCCACTCTTGAAGACGAGGGTCTCTACATGTGCGTCCTAACGAACAAATTGGGCGAAGAAACTGTGGAGGGTTATTTGACTGTCGGCACCGTCGACGAGCTCCGGCAACCGAGATTCACCGAATCTCTCAGTGACGTCGATGTCGCTCTCGAAGGTGACGGCGAGTTCAAGGCCGTCTTTACAGCCGATCCGGTTCCAGACATTACATGGTACGTATAGACAGAATAGATTTTATGTATGTTTGGCAGAAGTAAAATTTTCATATTTAATTTAAACGATATCTAAATGAAAGAATTAAAACATATCAAAGTAATAACAAAAGATATAATTATTATTTTTTATTGCGTTAATTCAAATTTATTTTGGACAATATGCATAAATAGAAAATACATTACTTTTGAAAACTTGACAAATGGTATTTTGTAGGTGAATATTTATTGATCGGAAATGTATGTGAAAAACATTTTTTCCAGGTACTATAAAAGTAATGAAATTCCGCCTGATGATTCGAGACTTAAATGGACTATTACGAATGGCCCGGCGGCAGATAAATTGACAGAAAGTAAAATTACATTGAAAGTACCAAAATGTACCAAAGAAGATACTGGAGAATACATCTTGAAATTAAAAAATAAATGGGGTAATGCAGAGTGTAATGTAAGTAGTAAAATTGATAAAATTATAAACCACAAAAGACCGCTGCTTAATAAATGACGATTGATATTTGTTTAGGCATTTTTGAGCCTTTTATTAAAACCAGAAATTGAGAGCTTTAGAGATCACAGTGAATCTGTTGATGAACGAGTTGAGTGGCAAGCTATTATTAAGGGAAATCCAAAACCGGAGATTACATGGCTGAATGATGACACGGTGCTGCGTAAGGATGAATACTATGATATGGAAGAAGATAAGAGAAACTGCAAATACAAACTCATCATTAAAAAACTCAGTCTAGAAGATAAGGGAACTTATACAGTTGTGGCGAAGAATTATTTGGGCGAAACAAGTGCCCAAGCTACTCTTACGCCTCACAGTAAGTGAATCAGTCTTTAAAAAAATCATAAAAAACACACAGAAAATCAAGGCATACATACATACAAGGTTGGGAAAGTTATTTTGTAAAAGTATCTAGTTAAAGTTACAGTTCTTTTCATTGAAAAAACAACTAGTTACAGTTACAAGTTACCGATTCTAAAAAGTAATAGTTATAGTTACTCAAAAAGTAACGAGTCGTTACTTTTCAGTTACTTTTTTACAATAAATGTGCACTACTATTTTAAATATACGAATTTTACATTTCAAGATTTATTAACTTATTATATACTACATAGGTACTTAATTTTATGTTATATTATTTTATAATAAATCACAATTGTTTTAAACTTAAAATAAAAACATTTAAAATATATTAAATTAATTAATAATTTAAAATAAATTATTATACTTAAAATAAAAATTATAAGATTAAGATTTTTCAGTTTAAAAATTCACGAATTTTACACAAACAGTCGTAACTTTCCGAAAAATCGTAGACTACAGTTTCAGTTCTTCTTAAAGTCTCAACTTTATGCTTATATGATAATTATCCTCAAAGATAATTTATTACTGGGTGGCAGTGCATTCTTTAAATGAGAATTTGTTTATTTTTGTTGAATTTCATAATTAATATCTATACGGTTATCCGTCTATTTATTTAACAAATATCGAATCTACACTTAATATGACAAATTCCATGACAATTTTGTTCCTTTCTTTATGCATATGTTTATGCGACTATGCAAGTTTGTCTAAATAGGCCCTAATTCTTACAATTAATACAACCGTATATAGAATATTAAATTAACTGTTAAATTAGTTACTAGTTACCATAAATATGTAACTAAGTTAAGTTACAATTATAGATGAAGAAAAAGGAACGAAGTTAAGTTATAGTTACCGAAAAAAAATAACTGTAACTGTAACTTCGTTACAAGTAACGAGTTACTTCCCAACCCTGCATATATAATATCTTTAATTTCTTTTCACAAAATTTCTTTTAGATAAGTTTGAATTAGTTATGATTTTAAAGCGTGAAAATATTTGTGTTTTTTGCAGCCGAAGCTCCAACCTTCCTCAAGAATCTGTCAAAGGTGCAATGCAGTGATCGCGAGGATGTCGAGCTGAAGATTCGCGCGACCGGTGTTCCAAGACCCAGTGTAGAGTGGCTGAAGAATGGCGAGATCATTAACGAAGATGAGCGGTATCAGGTGACGACTCACGTGGACGGCATAGTAGACAGTATGTTTTCTATCAAGACCTTTTCTGCCAACGACGCTGGCACGATAACGTGCAGAGCGAGCAATGTCGCCGGCAGCGCGGAGACTAGTTGCAAATTATCCATGATGTTAACCGCGCCTTCATTCGGTAAACAATTACCAAGATCGGCGGAGGTCGACGAGGGCGAGCCTTTGGAGCTGAAGGCCAAGGTGGATGGCAGTCCAATACCCAACGTCGCCTGGTTCAAAGACGGCGAGAGAATCATGCCGGATGATCACGTGAAAATCAGCACCTTGCCGGACGGCACCACGAAGCTTACGATTGACGTTGTGAAACCCACGGATTGCGGCGCTTACAAGCTCGTGGTTACAAATTCTAGCGGCGAGAATTCGTCGCTTTGCGCCGTCGCTGTCACGCGTAAATTTTTTTTTTGCTCAAAAATTTTTATCTTATAACACACTCAATTTATAATTTAATACAAGTCTATGTTGGTTATAGCCGAACGAAGGAAGCCATCGTTTACGAAGCCGCTGAAGGACACAAAAACTGTGGTCGGACAGCCATTGAAACTGGAAGCTCAAGTATTGGCATTCCCGAATCCGCAGATACAATGGTTCAAAGACGGCATACCATTGAGGCACACGAAGGAGATGTACTTCATGAACGAGCCTAACGGCCTCATCGGACTGAGAATGGACTATGTTCGTCCAGAAGACGCGGGAACCTATTCGCTAATTGTATCTAATGCGCTCGGTGAGATCACGGGTACGGCCAAGGTAGAAGTGGAAGAAAGAGAGAAGAGGCCAGAGTTTGTCGTGAGTCTTCAACCGCAGACCGTCGTTGAGGGCTTTCCGGTGAAGATGGAAGTGAAAACTACTGGAAAACCGGTAGCTGAGCTCAAGTGGCTACGAAATGACGAAGATGTTAGTATAATACGTATTTATACGTATTTTAATCTCTGTTGTCAACAGAGATTTATAATAAAATATAACTAATAATTATATTAATGAATATTAACAAGTATTGAGAATTATTAAGAATTTTAATAAAATAAAACAGAAATGTAACGCGTTTTTTTACAAAATTTTTCTATTCTTTATCTTATGAAATAAATTTTATTCTAATATATACACACGCGATATATATATTTTCAGATTGTCCCAGATAACAAACATATCAAAATCATCACACAACCGGACGGTAGACAAACGCTGATTATTGACAAGGCGATGCCGGAAGACGCTGGCGCATACCAGGTGATAGCCGGCAACACGGAGGGCACCGCGTCCTGTAAGGCCAAACTGGACGTTGCCGGCAAAGTAAGACCGGATGTGCCGGAGGAAAAACCGGCATTCATCTGTCCTATGCGCGATGTGTCCGTTGAGGAGGGCCAGCCGTTGACACTAGACGTGTCATTCGTCGGCAATCCAATCCCCGATGTGAGCTGGACGAAAGACGGTGTGCCAGTCGAGCCATCGGAACGCGTGACAATGAGTTGCGACGGTAAAAAGGTCGGCTTACAAATCAATCCGTGCGAGTTCAAGGACGCGGGCGTCTACGGCTGCCAATTGAGCAATCCACTGGGCGAGGATACCACTAACGCGAACGCCTTCGTCCGCAAGATCTATCAGTCGCCGACTTTTACTCAAAGATTCACAGACCTGCAGCAGCTGCCCACGTACGATGCCAAATTCCCGGCGCGTGTTATCGGCATACCGCAGCCAGCGGTGACTTGGTACTTCAACGATAAGCCGATTTTAAGAGACAGCGATAAATACAAGATCAAACGCGACGGCGACGCCTGCTGCTTGTATGTGAAAGACTGTACGTACGACGATTCTGGACGATACCGGTGCAAGGCGGTTAACAAAGACGGCGAGGTGGAGTGCGTGGCGAACTTGTCCGTGGTTGACAAGATGTAAGATTTTGCAAAGAGAAATATATCTACAGAATTTGTAGATCGCCTAACATATGTTAATTTTATGATTTCAGCGAGAAGATGCAGAAAGTCGAGCCACCAGCGTTCTTGAAGAGGATTGGCGACTGCGAGATTTACAGAGGCATGCCGGCCAAGTTTACCGCATGCGTCACGGGTTATCCGGAACCCGATTTCGAGTGGCATCGCAACGGCGACAGACTCTGGCCTACCGATCGCATCAGAATGGATCAGGAAGGTAGTCTGCTGCGGCTCACAATAGCCAATGTGGATGAGCTGGACGCCGGGAAATACATGCTGAAGATATCCAATCCTCACGGCGAAGACTCGTGCAGCGCTGAAATGGTTTACGAATGTAAGTAACTGAGAAGCGAGAGTGAGAGGGAGAGTTATAATCATTTACAAGGTTTTAAAAAAATATGCCGTTTCTACGTTCCAATATTGTTTGATTTTAGCTTTAGAGCCACGCGCGAAAAGGCCTCTCGTCGATCAGTACACGGATTACGACAAGTACCGGAAGTCCGGCATTCCGCTGCCACTGGCGGACCGTCCAATCATCAGCCGAATGATGGATCGACACCTCACCCTCTCGTGGAAGCCGTCCATTCCGATTGGGCCGCGCGTGCCTGTCACCTATCTGGTGGAAATGTGCGAGCTGCCGGACGGCGACTGGTTCACCGCCCGCAGCGGCGTACGCAGTTGCGTCTGCGACATACGCAATCTCGAGCCGTTTCGCGACTACAAGTTTCGCATCCGCGTAGAGAACAAGTATGGCATAAGTGATCCGTCGCCATTCGCGCAGACCTACCGCGCCAAATTAGAACCGGAACCGCCCAAGTTCTTCCCGTATCTGCCACCTGGCATCGATTTTCGTCCCGAAACCAGTCCCTACTTCCCGAAAGACTTTGATATCGAGCGACCGCCGCACGACGGCTATGCCCAAGCGCCCAGATTCCTGCGTCAGGAGTACGATACTCAGTATGGCGTAAAGAATCACAATTGCAATCTCTTCTGGTTCGTCTACGGCTATCCGAAACCAAGGATGACGTATTACTTCAACGATCAGCTGATCGAATCAGGCGGCCGATACGATCAGAGTTATACGAGGAATGGCCAGGCGACTCTCTTCATCAACCGGATGCTCGAGAGGGACGAAGGTGTCTACGAGGCTGTCGCCACGAACGAACACGGTGAAGCCAGGCAGAGGGTTATTTTGAAAATCGCCGAATATCCCACATTTATTGAGAGACCTGATGAAACCATCGTGATGGTGAGAAGAACCGGTCAACTGACTGCTCGTGTAACTGGCGTGCCTTATCCGGAAATCAAATGGTACAAGGACTGGAAATTGATAGCTTCATCCTCCAGAATTAAGGTTTGTTGTGTTTATTATTATTCTTTTTTATTGTACAATATTCTAATTCTGTTGCAAAGTAATATCTCACTATTTTTCAATAAAACATTAATTTTATAACATAAAAAATGCATTTATCAAATATAAATCTATGTTATTTAAGTATTTTAATTAAACACGTATTTTTCTAAATAAATAAATAAATTTTATTGAATGAATTAAATAAAATTAATTAAATTCGATAGATTCAATTCATCGAACCCGACATTACGACGCTCATCATCAACGAAGCTATCACGAAGGACGAAGGTCTCTATTCGATCAGCGCAGGCAATGTGGCAGGTTCGATATCCTGCTCGGTGATGCTACACGTGGAGGAGAATGAGCACGAATACGGATACAGAACGTATAAGAAAAAAATGGATGTAAAACCACATGATAAACCGTTCGGCGACTTGTACGATCTCGGCGACGAGCTCGGTCGCGGTACTCAAGGTGTGACTTATCACACGGTTGAGCGAAGCACTGGAAGAAATTATGCATCCAAAATAATGCACGGACGTGGCGATCTCAAGCCATTCATGTACAATGAAATGGAAGCGATGAACAATCTCCATCATCGCAAGTTACTGCGATTGCACGACGCTTTCGAGACTAACGATTCAGTCACACTCGTTATGGAACTGTATCCTTATTTATTATATATAATAGAATTAATCACAATAATTGTGACGTTGGAATAAATTGGACAACGTGATATTTTCTAATGATAACATTAATTGTCTTAATTTTTTATAATTATACTTTATTTGAAAATTTTTTTTTATAATGATGTGATTTTATAATTATGAACATCATTTTTATATCATTGGAAATGTTGCGATTTATATGATAAAATAGAAAGTACGGAGTTAAACGAATATTCAGCAGGATAATCCTTGACCATAGTAATTTAGGGCGGCCGGTGGTGAATTAGCAGACACTCTTATGAGACAAGAATACTACACCGAAATAGACATTGCTCGCTACATACGACAATTATTATGGGGATTGGAATATATGCACGGAAACCATTACGCACATCTCGGCTTGACGGTACGTTGTTTAAAAAATGCTTTTTCTTTTAGAACAATAAGTATAAAGCTTTCAATAATTTATGCAATGGTTTGTACAATTTCCGTCCATATCACTAAAGAGATGTAAAACTTGAAACTTGAAATACTTAATAGATGAAATATGAAAACTTAGTTATTTTTATTTATTTCATTTGACACAATTAATACGTTATATTTCAATTTTTCACTCTACAAAATTTTGTCTTGAATTTTAATTTATTCAACACATCTCTCTCTCTTTCTTATTTTCCTCGTAGCTTGGCGATCTTCTGATTTCTCATGCTGGAGGAGATGACCTGAAGATCGGAGATTTCGGACTTGCCCGCCGAATTTCGCACACAAGATTAATGACTTTGGCTTATGGTATGCCGGAATATGTCGCGCCGGAAGTGACAAACAACGAGGGTGTCAGTTACGCTGCCGACATGTGGTCCGTTGGTATAATTACTTACATTTTGCTCTCTGGTATTTCACCGTTCAGAGGTGCGAACGATAGAGAGACATTGAGAAAGATTAGAGAAGGTAAATGGGACTTCGACGATCGATGGAGAAACATTTCGAACGAGGCGCAAGACTTTATTCGCAGTTTATTAGTGTACAATGTGGACAAAAGAATGGATATTACGGCCGCTTTGGCTCATCCATGGTTCAATTACATTGACAACTCGCCGCCAGAGCCCTACAGGATACCTTCCGAGAATTTGAAAAACTATTATAAACTTTATTGGTAAGTAAATTATGCGATTTTTTAATGACTTATAATGCTAAAATTAATTTTGCAACAGTGATCTTGGAATCTCGTAGATAAATTATGAATTATACAGTTCAACAAAAAAAAATTCAAGAATGCGAGATATCTCTTTTTATAGGTTTTTTGATGCTGAATACATTGCCAGTTTTAAAAGTACTCCATCACATCACAATTTTGAGAAACTTAAGGTCAAAGTTGTAAAAAAGAGCTGTTTTGACGTACTTGATCATGTTATAACTATGGTATGCGACGTGTTAGAAAAGTTTCTTTTTTTTTTAATATAAAGCATATTATTAGAACTTTTTTAATTTTCAAAAGAAATTTTTTGTTCATTACGATTAACAGCCCAGAAAGCACAAATGTCTTAAAGACATTTAAAAGACATTTAAAAGATGTCTAAAATTTTTTAAAATTGTGATGTGATGGAGCATTTTTAAAACTGGCAATGTATTCAGCATAAAAAAACTATAAAAAGAGATATCTCGCATTCTTGAATTCGAAAAAAAGCTATTATTTGTATGTGTTATTCAAAATAGCATTTTTAATAAAGAAGAAAACATTTATATATATGCAGAATATGTTAAGAAAACTCGCTGAAAAAAATTCATAAAATTGATATTTATAATTTTAAAGTTAATATAATTATATAATTAAACGAGTAATGTTTGATTACAAGCCAGATATATTTTTACAGCGATTGGTATAACAATGCTTCGTGCCGTACGTGGTATCGCAGACGCAAGCTGGAGACTGCGTTTGAGGATCCATCGCGAATGGTATATCCACCCGGACATAAATTCACGCCTGAACCAAGCCTCGACAGAAATCACAGCCCATTAAAGAAACGTTCGCCCAGGACGTGGGAAAATCAAATACCATCCAGAGAGCCGATTGACACGGAAATTGGAATTATTACAAGCGAAAGCCAGTAAGAAAAAACATCATTAATCGAATATCCGATTTGATTCTAAAAGTATAATAAATTACGACATTAAATTTAACATTTTTTAGCTATAAAATATCTATATAATTCATAGAAAGTATATTATAATAATTTTTTTTTAAATAATAAAAATTTTACGATTTTTTTATATTTATATCTTACAGTTATCAAAACGGCCCAGACACGTATCTTCTCCAATTGCGAGACACAGATTTCCCTGTACGATTACGCGAATACATGAAGGTCGCGTGCAATCGCAGCCCCGGATTTTCACGCTCTATTACCGAAGACAACGGCTTTGATTGGAGAGTAAGCAAACTTGTAAAGAAACGCGATACTGAAATATATATTTAAATTACAGAGTATTTTACATAATTTACATTAATGCATGTTACATTTTTATAAAATTCTTTTTTCGATACTTCGTTTTGTCATTAGGCACCCATTATACGGGAACGTCGTCGATTTACGGACGTAATGGACGAGGAAATTGACGACGAAAGAAGAGCACGTATCAATCGATACGGATCTGATGGCAATTTCACGCTTAGACGGTTGAAAAATGAGCTAGGCACTCGATTGGACAGCTATGCCGAAGCTGAAGCTATAATCGAGTCAAAGAAAGAGGGTCAGCCTCCGTTCTTCCGCGAAAAACCGCAAATTTGTCCAATCGAAGAGGGAAAACCGGCGCATCTTACCTGTCTAGCTGTAGGAAATCCAAAACCACTGATACAATGGTTCAAGAACGATATCGTCATACAGGAGAATAATAGGATTAAAGTGACGGAGGATACAGAGGGCAGATCTATTCTAAACTTCAACCCCACGAAAGAACACGATATCGGAATATATAAGGTCGCAGCGAGAAATCCTATAGGGCAGACGATTGTCAGAACGAGGGTATTACTGGCAACTGTTCCTTTCGGTCCAGATTCTCCAGAGGTACAGTGATTTAACAGTAGTTGAGGGTGTAAAATTTGGAGAGAGGAAATATTTATTATTATACATAAATGACTTTTGTATTCTCCTAAAATACACACAAAATATAATGACAAATAGGAATATAAGAGGAAAAATATTATACAAAAGTCATAAAAAATGATCTTCAATTTTTCAGGCTTCCGACATTTCGGATACCGAAGTACTCTTACGATGGAAGCAGCCAAAGTATGACGGCAATTCGCCCGTACTATGCTACAATCTCCAATATAAGGAAGGCGACTCAATCGCCTGGATAGATGTCGGCTTCAACATCGACCATGAATTCTACCTGGTACGCGATCTAAAGCAGGACACGAGCTACAATTTCCGCCTAGCAGCGCGCAATCGCATCGGCTGGAGTGAAAAGGGCATCCCGTCGAAGCTGATTAAGACGCGGCCGCCGGGTTGCCCGAAAGTGCAGATCACACGAGCGATGAGGCATCTCCAGGAATTGACCGAGGCTGGCCAGGAGATCATCCTTGAAGAGGACAAGCCGCACATCGATTACTCCATAGAAGAACGTCCGATCGAATGGTCGACGGAGCCGCAGCTGTCCACCAAATACACCTTTATTTCGGAGCTATCGCGCGGCCAGTTCTCCGCGGTGGTAAAGGGCGTGGACAAGAACACGGATTGCGTGATTGTCGCCAAGATTCTGGAGCTGGACGCCGAGACAGAGGACCAGGTGAATCAAGAATATCAAGTGTTGCGCAGATTGCGGCACGAGAGGATAGCGATGTTGGAGGCGGCGTATAAGGCATCCGGCTGCCCGATAGCGATATTTATAATGGAAAAGCTCCAAGGCGCCGACATTCTCACGTACTTCTCCAGCCGACACGAGTACACAGAGAATTGTGTAGCGAACGCCGTCACGCAGATTCTTGACGGTCTGCAGTACCTTCACTGGCGTGGTTATTGTCATCTGGACATCCAGCCAGACAACGTGGTGATGTCGACCGTGAGATCGGTGCAGGTGAAGTTGGTTGACATGGGCTCTGCCCATCGAGTTAGCAAGCTGGGTACTACAGTATCTAAAGATCTGGGCCATCCTGAGTATAGATCACCTGAGTTGTATAACGACGAGCCAGTATATCCACAAACAGATATTTGGATGGTCGGTGTGTTAATTTATGTATTGCTGTCCGGAGTCTCTCCCTTCCGCGGCAAGGATATAGAAGAAACCAGACAGAACATATCCTTCGTCAGATACAGATTCGAATATCTCTATAAAGAGTTGAGTCAAGAAGCCACCAGATTCCTCATGTTAGTCTTCAAACGCGCGCCAAGGTTGGTAACAATCTTAAAAGTTTATATTTCAGATTTCTATTTAGCTACATCTAACGCTAAATATCATTTATGTACCCAGTCAGCAAAATGCTAGCAGTATGCCAGCAGATCTAATCATGAATTTACAGTAGATTCTGTTCCGCTATGTCCTCATTAAGTTTTGTTTCTACCAGCACGATGTGCCAATACAATGTGATGGTAGAAATCGAGCATATCACAATGTGGCAGCAGAAACACGGCAGAAACGAAGCAGAATTTACTTTCTCAGCTATTGACAGCAAAAATAGATAACAAAAAATAGACAACAAAAATCAATCACGACTTGCTGTCATAAATGTGACGGCAGAAAAGCGACAGAAACGAAGCAGGGTCTGTTTTATTAGCTATTGACAGCAAAGCAATACATTTCAATTCATTATGAATTATTGTAAGGGAATTGAATCCGGATCTTCCGCAAATGTTCTCACCACTAGACCAGGGCACAGAATTATTTCATCTCGGCCGATTCTCGTGGTATACACCTCCTTTCCTCTCCTTACCGCGCGCGCGGCAGCCGCTAGGACCAGCGCCGCCAAACGTTAGGAGCGGTGCTATCCGATTAATGTTAAAAAAAAATATATTATATATATATATATATA